GAGAGAGAGAGACTTCTCCTTTTTCTGGCAGGGGAAACCATCAGACGAGACCAGGGAACATGGAGTGGGATTTGCGGTCAGGAACACCCTCCTAGGATCCATCATTGCACCTACAGAGGGAACTTCAGCTACAGCTTCACTCCTCAGCAGGACCAGTCAGCCTAATTAGTGCCTACACACCAACACTGTCCTCCACAGCTGAAGCTAAGGACAAATTCTACGATGACCTCAGCGCCGCCATAGAGAAAATCCCGGAACACGAGTCACTGTTCATCCTCGGAGATTGATTGATTATTTAAAATTAGCGGCGAACACCTTCTTAGACTGAAATTAAAACGTTAAACATTTATCAATAAATGTCATAAATAACAATAAATATTATATTAAAAATCAAAGCATAAACATTATACTCTCAATCTTTAAAAACTATTGCAAAAACATTATGCAATTAAATCTTATTGAAAATATTAGTTTCCCTAAGGAAACTAATAAGACCTATGTCAAAATCCTCCCCCAATACACTTTTCAATGTATATGGGGGAGGTAAGTACCTTCGTCTTTGGTCTGAGAATGTTGCACATCTTTCCACTATATGTGCGACCGTTAATGGCTCTTGATATCCCTCACAGCGTGCTTCACTCTTAGCCATCATCAGCCCATGAGTCTTGTCTTGTGTGCCCAATTCCGAGCTGATCGGCCTTCCGATCAGCTCGCCCATTCCCACCGATACCAACATGTGCTGGCACCCAACACAGAGTTATCCCCTTATGCGCTGACATCAGTGCAAGCCAATCTTGAACCTCCCCCACCACTGGATGTGATGAGTTAGTTCTTGATTGCTTGCAAGGCACTACGAGAGTCACAATATATTACAACAGAATGGTTTGCAAGATCTCTAGTCATCTTGACTGCTGCAAGGATGGCATGCAACTCGAGAAAGACTGCCAGATGCAGTCCTCCTGCAAAGCCCACACCATTCTCAGACTTCGAACCATCTGTATATATTGCATATGATATCTGGTACTTAGAGGTGTGTTGAAGAAATATCTCTCTGACTTCTGCTTCGGATCTCTCCTTTCCCAATTCCGACCAAATCTAGCTTGACTTGGTTAGTCCTAGGGGGGACTTGAGAAGCTCCAACAGCCAGAACCTTTGTAAGATTTAAATTCAGATCTTCCACAAGATTCCTCATATCCTACCATAGGATCGGCTATCCTCAAGGGGGTTGAAAACTAATCTGGATGTAGGAGATCCAGGACTCCACAGATGAAGACCTGAAAGCTCCTATACAGATTCTCAGAGCTTCATTATGAACCGAGTCCAACATCCGGAGAACAGTGGGAGTTGCAGATGAATAAGCCTCACATCCACAGTCGAGTTTACTATGGATAAGTGCTCACCTTTAACTGTTTAATGTGAGGCACCCATGTAAGCCTCGATTCAAAAATTACACCCAAGTACTTTACCTCTTGAACGAAATGCAGAGGGAAGGATGGAACTCTCCTCGTTTCTGGAAATGCATAGCCATGGTCTTGGAGAAAATTTAAACCCATGGTATGTCGCCCATTGCACTACCTGATTTATTGCAGTCTGCATGTGTCCTTGCACATCCTGTAAGCTTCCTCCTGAGCAGTACAGTGTAAAGTCACCCACGTACAGCTACATGAGACAGCACTTGGAACGACCTTTACGACATCATTTATAACAATGGCAAACAGGGTCACACTTAAAACGCTCCCTTGTGGGACCCCTTCAAGCTGATCTTCCAGGGTAGAGAAGCTGTTTCCCACCCTCACTCTAAACTTCCTATTAGCAAGGAAGCTTTGTATGAAGGTTGGCGATGCTCCTCTTAAACCAATGTCATACAGCTTCATGAGTATGCCATGCTTCCAAGTAGTATCATAAGAATTTTCAAGATCAAAGAAAACTGCTAACATATGACGTCGCTGTGTGAAGGAATTCTGTATAGCAGTTTCCATCCTCACAAGTGCATCTGTGGTCGATCTCAGTTTTCTAAACCCATACTGATATGGGGTCAGCACATTTTCTTTTTCTAGCAGCCATGTCAACCTGAAGTTTACCATATTCTCCATCAACTTACAGATTTTCCATGTAGATCCTATTGAATAGATCCACCAGGAACGTTTGGGAGCTCTCTGGAAAGTGAGATATCATTTGGTATGGAATATCGTCACTTCCTGGGGCAGTCTACCGGCAGAGTTGCAAAGCAGAGTCCATCTCCTTGCGCAATAATGGCAAGTTGTATGGAAGCTCTTCTGCAGTGCTACTGGAGAACGACACTGGGTGTCGTTCCTGTTCAGCCTGAAGAGTGGAGAATTGGGCAGTGTAAGATGCTCCAGAGGAGATCTCTGCCATGGATTTTGCCAGTTCATTTGCAACATCTGTTTTGTCTGTGAAGATTATGCCATCTATTTTCAGAGCAGGTGGTAATATGGTGTTATGGTGCTCTTTCCAGCGATCTTACGCACCTTGTCCCATACCCATGCTAAAGGGGTCCCAGAGTTAATCAAGGAGACATACTGCCTCCACGATGTCTGTCTAGCCTCCTTTAGCACTCACTTGGCCTTGGCTCGGGTCTTTTTGTACTGGATCAAGGTTACACCACTTGGGCATCGTTTCAACTGCCTTAATGCAGCTTTTCTAGCTCTGACAGCTTGTTGGCATTCATCAGACCACCATGGTACCGGAGGTCTATGGTACTGCCCGCTACTTCTGGGAATTGATGCTTCTGCTGCAAGGTGAATTCGTGATGTGAAGTGATTGACAGCATCTTGAACACACTGGAAATCATTCACAGATCCTTGCAATACTGCAGTTGATCTAAAAAGATTCCAGTCTGCATGTTCAAATCGCCATCTCTGCAGTCCATTGGCTGGAATACTATTCACCTCTTCCAAAAGTATTGGAAAGTGGTCACTTACATGTAAGTCTTCCATGACCTGCTAAGTGAAATTCAACTGTGAATCAGGTGAACCAACTGACAGGTCAATATTGGAGAATGTCCCAGTTTGTGGTTTGTGGATGCGTCACTGTTCAGTAAAACTGCATCTACTCTTGAGAACAAGGAGGTGATGCCGACCATTGAAGTCTCCCAAGAGTAGAAATGGATGAGGCAACTGCTCAAGTAAATCTTCCAAATCATCTATGTTGAGATTATGTGGAGGGAGGTAGATGGATGCAACAGTGTAAGGTCGTGTCAAGCCTATTCTCACAACCTTAACCTGCTGTGTCGTCTGCAGGTGGATGGCCTGGAAGGGAACATCTTGATGTACCATCACTGCTACTCCTCCATGAGGTCCACTATCGAAGGTTACATAATGGGCTTGCATTTAGAATCCTCCCAGGGAAATTGGACAATTTTCCCTGGTCAAAATCTCTTGTAGGCATACACAAACTGGATTACATGAAGCTATCAGATGTTGTAGTTCTTCCCATTTTGCATGAATTCCCTAACAGTTCCACTGGATTAGGGTATCCAGTTCTCCAGATTGAGAAACTTCTTCATAACTGAGTTTCATCATTTGCAGACTGATTTTTAAAAGTAGTGGCAGAGTATTGGAGGGTAAGGCATGGTGGGAAGGAGGATGGGCTGGAACTGAAGCAAAGGACTTAACCGGCTGTGCAAACAGCACACAGGCATGTCGCTTTGCTTCTGTAAAACTTTCTCCTTGCTCCTTATTACCAATACTTTTTTTTCAAACTTGTATCTTTTACATTTCTTAGAAGAAGCTTCATGTTCTTCTTTGCAGTGGTACTAGCATACTGGACCTAGACAGTCGTCATCTCCTTGATGACCTGTTGTACCACACTTCACACACTCTTTGTTGTCCATTTTCCTTAAAATGGCAAGATTGTGTTCTATGCTCATAACCCTGACAGTAGAAGCACCGCACAAGGTTGGGCACATATGGCTTGACCTTGAGGTAGTACCAAGCCAACTTAACTGATTCAGAAAGGACTAATGTTTCAAAAGTTAAAAGAAGAGCTGGTGTCGACTGTTCTAAACCATCAACTTTCTTTTTAAAATGTTTTACAGCCACTACATTAAAATTCTTTAATTCTTCTAACAGTTTCTCCTCAGAATACCTCAGGTCTTGGGGAAAAGACAATTCCGTTACACTGACTGAGTGTTTTGTGAGAACATGAAACTTGAGCCCCAGGAATATTGCATATCACAAGCAAACGGTCACTTTCGTCTGGTGATGAAACCTCCACTATTAGACTACCATCTCGCTGTGGGGTGACGCGAGGATCCCATTGACATACCTCAACAATCTTCCGATATACTTCAAAAATGTCAAGAGCCCTGACTGATATACACTTCACAACTAGGTATTTACTCTATGAGATACTTTCATATTTACTAGGTAAGATTTCCTTAATGGATTAAGGAGGACTTCTTACCTGGTTTGGGAACACGGGAACCATTACGATTCCCATTCTTGCCCTCTGAAATCTGGTAAGGTTCCAAGAGTAACAACATGTGATGTTCCATAGGGATTAGCCAAGGGATTGCGTAGGTCGTCAGGGAGAGAGCTTGTTCTTTGTAAACTTCCAGTATGGGTTGCCCTCTGGTCCGGCTCACCAGATCATTGGTACCTCGAGCTCCCCACCGCGGCAAGGCGGCTTCCGTCCTCGGAGACTTCAATGCTAGAGGAGGTGCTGATCACAACTCTTGGCCCACTTGTCTGGGTCAATTCGGTACAGGAAGGATGAACGAGAACGGGCAACGCCTGTTTGAACTCTGTTGCCATTACGGTCTCTGCATCACGAACACCTTCTTCAACACGAAGCCCCAACACAAAGTCTCCTAGAGACATCCAAGATCCAAGCACTGGCATCAGCTTGACCTCATCCTTACCAGACGCGGCCGTCTACCCAGCATCCAGATCACACGCAGCTATTAGAGTGCTGATTGTGATACAGATCACTCCCTGGTATGCAACAAGGTCAAGCTGTGAACAAAGAGAGTGCACCGC